ATGGTTCATAAACTCTGTCATGTTTTATATAAAATAACAGTCCATTTTCGCTGCCTGCCTTTAAAAGTCACACTTCTTTTAAAAAGGAGAAAAATAAACATGATTATCTTAGAGAGGTTACTTAAAACAGACATTTTCTATGACACATTCAGTTCTGAAGCTGTGGAAAAACATGCAATGTTCGCCCAACAGGTGTCGCTGTTCATCTCCTAAAAAGAGAACTAGGGCTTCAACAACAAATCGATAAAATCGATAAAAATCGATGATTAAAAGCGTTGGCAACGAATTTCGTTATCGATTCGTTGTGTCGTGCGATTATGCGTCTTTCACGGCGCTGCGGAGTCGTTTCGTTTTGTTCACCTGCAGTTCATTGTCAATGCTGACTGACTGAATAAAGTTTGAAAAAAAAAAACTGCAGCGCGAGTTGAACAGAGCGAGGGGGGAGGAGGAAGCAGAGCAGAGTGTTTTCAAAGGAAATTTAAGTAAATTTTATAAATGACCGACGCAGAGAAAACTGTTCGACCCAAGTCCTCCAAAGTGTGGGAGAACTTCACAAAGATAAAAAATGAGAAGCATGCAGCTTTGAAAAGTGACGACACGACACGAGAGAACCACGGAGATAAACGTAAACATGTCGGAGTCACGAGGAGGAGGAAGGAGCTGCAGCTGATACAACCCTTCATGTGTTGCAGGTGAGTCTCTACAATTTAACACTTTGTTTTGTTCCAAGAGAGAAAACGTAACGTCAGTCTGTCTGAAGATGAAGCTGTTTGTTTGTTTGTTTGTTTGTTTATCTGATTAATGATGTGATAGAGAACGTGTGTTACTTTTTATTTAATTTAATTGGTACAAGCAGTGTTTAAATGTGATTTATAAATAAATCTAACACAAAGATAATAATTTAATGATTAAGCTTCAACTTTTACTTTGCTGGCAAAGTCTGAAGACACTGCAGGTATGGCAGGATGAATTGCATTTAAACAGGAATTAAAGTAATTTATTACATCTACTCAAATGTGTGGAATTAAGTAATTTATGTGTGTGTGTGTGTGTGTGATTGCTCTTTTAGTACTTTTGCCTGAACCTAACACTGTAAGTGAAACAAGGCATTTCTTGAGTTGCTGTAAATTATGCTATAAAACATATTTACTCTCTCATTCCAGAAAACAACAACAACAAACAACAACATCCTTCATGATGGACAGACATCATGGACACCACAGCAGCAGCTGTCTTCACTGAAACATCCTGAACATGATCGTCACTGACATGAGGCCTCTGTCCATGGTTGAAGACGAAGGCTTCACTACAATAATCCACACTTTTAATCCAGGTTACAATGATCCACACTTTTAATCCAGGTTACAATAATCCACACTTTTAATCCAGGTTACAATAATCCACACTTTTAATCCAGGTTACAATAATCCACATTTTTAATCCAGGTTACAATAATCCACACTTTTAATCCAGGTTACAATAATCCACACTTTTAATCCAGGTTACACTCTTCCCTCAATGACACATTTTACAAAGTAGCTACATACTGTGCAGGTATAAAGACACATTTGTATATATTTTTGTGTACATTTATTTTTTAAGCTATTTGACTAACTTTTATCTTTTTATTATTCAATATTTTACTAACACAATAGTCAAATAGCAACCTGTTTTTTGTGTGAATTGCTATGTCAGTCAAATGTTCAATTTTGGAATAAAGGGGTGGAAATTAAAATGTTTTTTTTTCTGATTCATCGATTAATCGAAAAAATAATCGACCGATGAATCGATTATTGACATAATCGTTAGTTGCAGCCCTAAAGAGAACGTCATTCTGAAACAAAGGATTCTGTTAAAACTGTTATCTCCATGGGAAAATCCTGGGAGTAAACTCTTCGTTAGTTGTTTCACTTTGAGGCCAAAATGAACCACAAGCGATCTGTCCGTTTCGTGGGAAATGACTTCACATTGAAAGTGAAGTTGCAATGACAGTTTTTCATTGCGTTAGATTAGTGGCCACTAAGGAGTTTGTAAGCTGAGTTTAACACCTGTAAAATAAAGTCTGTTCGCTCCCAAGGGAATAAATGCATCGTATTTTAACAGTTTAAAACACAAACACATGAATTATATCGTTTAAGTTGAGGTGGTGTTCCCTTAACACCTGACTGAAAAATGTTGGATACAGTTTATGATTTATAAATTATAGTTCAGAAGTTTTTGTGCAGGTTTCCAAAGGTTTTTAAATTTTGTTAAATATTTACTAAATCTGAATCAATATGGTTAAGACTGAAGTCTGTATATTTCATATTAGGTGAAGTTTTGAAAATATAACAAATGTTGGAGCAATGTGGTTAAAAATAACTGAAGTCTGTATTTCATGTTGAGTTAAAGTTTAATATACTATGGTAGGCTGAAGTCTGTTTACTTTTATATTTATATATTTTGAATTATTTGTCTGTGATGGACTGGAGACCTGTTGTCCCCCGCCTCTCACACAGTGATGGCTGATATGGGCACCAGTGACACCAGTGACTTATAAAGGAAGAAGTGGGTAAAGATGATGGATG